ACCACACCATGCCATTTTGGTATTTTGAGTTCTAATCGACAAATTTGATGTGATCATTTGAAAGTTTTGTAAAATTAAATTTGAATTTTTAAAATCTTACATTATAAAAAGTGCGTTGTTTTCAGTTTTTGACGTTCTCAGTTGCCCTTTACCTTCAAGCATATTTTAAGGTTTTATTAGATCTCAAAATGAAATTTAATATTGTTAAATGTGGCTAGAGTGTCTGCTCTGGCTGACCTATTACCCATCATTATGTTGCTAATTGACCATAATTTTGTGACGTCTCAGTGCCTCAGGATGGTGTTTGTGTCCAATCCAAGATATTTGGTGGCAAAACAGAGCTGATATTAAAATTGATCTTCCAAAATATCTCCTCTATATTGGCAACGGGTATTGGCAACTTCCCATTCACGCTACTTATTTGTTAGTTATTCAAGGTGTATTGTCTTTTCTGCCACAGCCTGAAAAAGCACAAGAAGATGTGGTTATAGACATGCTTGATGGAGCCCTGACACATTGGACAAAAGTTCCTTATGTCCCCAAAAGAGAGCAACTAGAAAAAGAGAATTCTCTATTTGGGTACCCAAGCGTTCGCCCAGGTGTTTATCAAGTCTCTTCTGTATCTCAAAATTTTTGACATTATCGAAAATGGTTTTGCTGAATTTTTTAATATGATTGTTCTCATTTGATCTCCCCTCTTTAGCTTTTTGTATGTATGCGAAAACAAATATAGCTATTCTGTTCGTCTTTCGGCACCCTTTTTCAAAGTTTTGTAGGGTTCAAATCCGTTTTTTGACCATTCATTTTTCATTCTTTTTATGTGGCCTTTTTGAACGCAAACCTCTGTCTTCTTATTTGAATTTGAGCGCATTGCCCCAGCGAACTCTATTGTGATACAGAAGGATATCTTTTACCTGTTAAGAAAAGAATGATGTTTGCTTTTGTCCGCTGTACTTGTCGAACGCTTTTGTCATGATTTGTGTTGATCAAATGAAAAGCTGTTCCAAGAACGATAGTGAACATTTTTTTCTCTATAAAAATAATTACGTTGAATTCTTGGGAAGTCCTTTACTAGTTGAAATAGTGAATGGATATCAATGGCATCCCTTTAACTGTATTGATAAATCTTCTTCCAGCCCCAAGGGAAGAGAAAATCCCAAAGGGTTCTGTTCCAAGATCAATGGAAAGTGAAGGATTCTATGTTGGCACACCCCCCGTTATTGAGCAAGCATCCGTTTCTGTAATGGAGAATCGCGTTCTTATGTCGAAGAAAGAGGTAATTTTGATTGATTGATTTATTTATCTACATATTGTAATAAGGATCACTGGTAAGATATTATATGAGAGTGATCTTGATTCAGCAAGCTAATTCTAGATGAGCAAATGACCTCTAGGATCTTGTTTTTGAATTCCTTGTTCTGGCCTTATTTTATGTTTTACTTTCACGTTTGTGTAAAGTCCTTCCCGTATACTTACAAATTTGCAGAAACCAATTTCTTTTTATAAACGATTGGGAAGTACCATTTAACCTTTTTCAAGCCTCATAGGGGCTAATTTTTCAGGGTTCTCCGGAGGGGGGGGGGGCTTTAGATTATTAGAAAGGGGGCTTATCGTGAACTCGAGATAAGGGTTTTAAATATTTTCGAAGCATGTTTTTTCTGTATTAATTGTATGAAATATAACTTATACTTGTATCTGGTTATTTTTCATGTTTCGATGAATGAATTTCCGCGTTTTTCTCGGAATCATCAGTCTGTTGATACGTCTGATGGATAACAAGGAGAGGGGTTGCTAGGGAGGTAGCTTGTTTCAAATTGTGTTTTGAATAAGGGGCTCAGTAGAAAAGGGGGTTATTAGAGAGGGGTGCTTGATGGTGCATGTACGGCATTTATGGGAAATTCAAGTTAGTTGATCGTGAAGATGGCAAAATTGAAAGTCTATTTTTAGTTTGTATTGGTGAAACACAGCTGTTGTGAAATTGTGAAAAATACACAATTTTGCAAGAAATGAGGAGCCTGTCAGTAAAGAATTAAATTAAACAATAAATGGTCTGTTTACCAATTGATCAAGATATGACCTGAATTGTTAAATTCTTGAGTAAGAATCAAGACCCTACGATGGACATTTTCTATCTTGTGTAGCCAGTCGCCTGGTTTCAAACAATGTTTTGTTTTGAATGGAAAAATATTCGCCAGGTTTTTTGGTATAATTTTCTTTTTCTAGGATTTCTCTTGCTTCGATGAAAATGGCGATTTAAAACGACTGGCGAACCCGGTACGAATGAATCCATCGAAGTTTGCTTTGAATGAAGAAATGCATACAGCTTTGGAGACCTTTTGGGGAAAGGTAATTCTAATGCGTATAGCTTCCTAAACAATTCTAATGAGTAAAGTTATTTTAACAATTTCCTTAAAGATTGAAGTAAAATTTGTTGATGTTTTGTATTTGAAGTCATTCTTCTTTTGAAATAATGATTGTAATCTGCTTTCAAGGCTGAAGTCAAGAATTTTGATTGCAGATACATAAACGGAGTTGCAGGCAAGCCGTTCTTTTTTATCGTTATAAAGGCTCAACTTTCAAGTTATATTAGTTTATTGTGTGAAAAGAGTGGTTACGAAGCAGCTCTTAGTATTTTTGCCCAGTGCTGCAGTTTTTCAGTGAATTAAATGAGACGTGATCTTAATTTACGTCACACATGCTAATTAGCTTGTTACTTCTCGAGCATTATAACAAAATCTGCCGCCTGCATCTTTTGCGGCCCCAAAAATATGGAACAATACAAAGTATTATTGACATATGCTTATTATGCTCTCTTTTATCGTCACTTTTCGTTCCACTTTTGAAATTGTATTTTATAGTTTTTCAAGCCATTTTCAAACATATCATGCAAGCCAACAGCTAACTCTGTTAGATTTCAAAAAAATTGTTCACACTGCATTGTAAAGTTCCCAACGTAATTATTATTTTGATATAAATAGAATCCTTAAGATGAAGCGTAAGGATCATCACGGCCTAGGCAATCAGAGCTTTGCCTTTCATTGCAGCCGGTAAGCGATATCAGCTTGATATTGACGTTTCTACACTAACATTTGGGCACCACCCTCTGTTCAGCAAAGAACACGTTCTGGCAACGAGGCTGGAACAGATGTACAACCAATACTGCACAAAAATGCGAAAGGGCATGGTAGAACACCTCACCAACAAGGTAAATCCTCTGTAATCTGCAATTTTGTATAACAAGGGCTACTTTCTTTTTCACGGAAACATCTTTTCACGCGATAATAAGGGATACATCTTTTCACGCGAGCTGGAGTGCCACTTCTAAGCTGCTTTAGTCTTTTGCGTCTTGAAGGATTGCTAGACAGCAGTTTAGGTACTCTAACTGGCACTTCTATGTGGGGCTGCTCTGTATATCATGCGAGTGTCCCTAATCTCTAGGTTTAATTTTTTACAGGGGTACTCAGGACGTGAATAATATTCCCGTGACTGAGAAAAGTCATCCATGAAAAGCCCTGCGAATCTATTAAAAACCCTGTAAAAAATCGTTTATGAAAATTTACCTCATCTAGCTTTGATTCAATCCAACAAGAAATACCTCATGACTGTCTAGAGTTAAAATTTAAAAGCGAAGAAGTAGCTAAAGTAGAATTTCTGCAAACAGAGCAGAAAATATTGAAAAATAACAGCGATTTACTCGTAAGAGCCAATGTTATAAGTTATTTCACACTGGTGTAGGTTTAATTGAATAGAATAGCAACAAGCTGGCTATCTTCAAATCCATATTTTAGGGTTTTTATTCTTTCCAAGTTAAAAACTGAAGCAAATTCCTATTTATGAAAAATCCCCTACACAATTTTGCAGACTTAATAAGTCTTAATTTTATTTATTTTTAAGCAGACAAAATAACTATTTTGTAGATAACTCTCTGTACATGTAAACTGCAGACCTTTTATGAATGGTATTTTATTGACACATCTGTGAGAGCTTTGCGAATCTTAACCTAAAGAATATTTTTGTTGAAATCGCCTGACACCTGAAAGTAATTGTTTCGTAGTTATCAACTTTGAGAATTGCCTTGGAGCAGCTGCAAGAGCTTCCTGACAAAATGGTAAACTGAAAATTTTTTGCATCGTATTCGATAGTTCGTCTGCAACAGCTGCCAGTGTCAAATTACAGTCACTACTCATTTCCAAGAAAGCTGTCCATTCTTATTTAGTATGCAGTTGTGATAAGATCTCATTGTGTTACGACTTGGCTGATGGATATCATAATAATCTTTCTCCTTCTGTTATTGCTGCTGAAAACGTATTTTTGAGTCATATACCCTTATCTTATCTTAAGTGTTATCATTTAGCTCATCAACTCCTTCTAAGTAACATGAAGTCGTCTTAGAAGCTTTCTGTATAAGATCAGCCGATCTTGTTATTCAATAAAGAACAATTTTAATTCTCTCTCTGCAATTTGGATTTAAAGTTCCAAAAACATTTCAATTATGAATACTGCTCTATATTTTCATAATTTCATTTAAAGTATTATAGAATAAAAGAGAAAATCATTTAATTATTTTAGGATTTTTTTGTATTGTCACATATTCATCCAACAACTTCTTTTGAAATTTACTTTTTTTGTTTCCAAAGTTATAACAGGTTACAATGTTTTGATTTACAATGTTGAAACTATAAAAACGATTGTTCTAAAAGGCTTAAGCGTCAAGAGAAATGTTCTCGAATCCATTCAAATAAATCGTTTCTTAATTTCTGTAATACACAAAATATGAAAACTTTATTACTTTATTTTATATTAAAAGTTTCATTTTATATTTTCGACAGAAAAGGGCGAGAAAGAGTAGTATTTCACAGGAATTAGATCGACGAAGATCATACTATAAAAATGAAATAAAGTAAGTAAACTAAATCACTCCTTTATTCTTATGATTAATATAAACAATTGCATTCGGATACCATTTATCAGATATGCTGCCCTGGTACAGTTTCTTAGAATTACGGCCATTTCTGTCAAGTTGCTCATTCATTCTCTTGCAAACTTGGTCTGATACACACCGCCTATGGTGCATTTGTCTCTTCTGCTTCAGACGTGTTGTCTTGTGCCAAGCAAACACAAATACACACTTTTAACGCTGTTCATCTGACAATTCACCCATTTGTTTTCGCTTAACATTTGGTTTGGTTTTGACTATGAGCGTTTATCCGGTTTTGTAATGACTACCGGGTCCTTCCAGGTCCGCTAGGCTCACGTAACCAATAGCAGTCAATTGCTGGACTTGTTTGTTCCAGGATTCAAGTAAAAATGATCCGAATGGACCGGAACTGAACACGTCTAAAAAGATGATCAAAATTGACCTGATCTTATTACACCTTGAAGCATAAAATCCATCCTTACATGGATATCGGTCATTTGCATTTCTTAAAGGCAAGGGCCTTAGTCTGTTCGCTCTTCGCCAGTAAGCAAAATTGTTACTTAAATTTGTGTCACTGTTTATTGTGAACAGAAAAGTCAAGTTTTGCACGTAGCCCTACGTCCCTCCTCCAATGAGCCTCCTTGTCAAGCAGTGTTTTGAAACAAGTCTCTCTAATCTCTGCAAATGTCTCGATTTCATATAACACGAATCCAAGATAGTCACCCCTATCTTTTAGCCCCCGTCTACAGCTTCCTATTTAGAGTCTCTAAAATTTCTCATATTTATTTAGAGTCTTCAAGTTCATCATTGATGCTGGGCTACGCATTGTTTGTTAGAATGAGCTTTGGTCGGTATACATTCCAATAACGACTCGTATTTGTGCTATTGCAGCAGGCCAAATATCAAACGATATTTTATTTTGCTTTCAAGGCAAACCCGCAGACAAAGAGACGATGAAGAATACAGAGACCGAATGCTTTTAAAGAGCATCTTCAAGTATGACTCCTATATTCAGACTCCAGATATAGCTGCATATACAGATTGCTTGTAGAACGAGACAGTTTTAAGTTGAAGTTTCTAAAGTTGAATTGCAGTTACTCTGGAATTGCACGTGTGTCAGTATCACCCTACAACGCCTGTCACCCTTGCAATATCTATATGGTATCCAGCACTGTTAAGCCAATTCAACAACTTTGAAAACCAAAATTCACATTTATTGTACTAAACTAGAAGCTACTACAGCCAGGGAAAGATTTACATCAGGCTTTTGCTACCAGCCTGTTAAAAGAAGCAGGGTCTAACTGTATTAGCATGTCTTTGTCATAAAAAACTGATGATCAAATCACGCAGTTTTTGCATGTTTTAATTAACATGCCTTTAAAAGGCAAGACATGAAACCATTTGTTCATGGGTATAATTAAAGTATGCCTGCAATCGTCGAAGCTTTGATATTCTAACTAAAAGTTCTTTCGATGTAGAATTGGTAAATGTTGTCTTTATGCTGAACTCCATCGAGTAAGAATTATTTAAACACGGTATAGCTGTGCTCATCGGGCCTCATCGTCTATGTTTTTTCTTATTGCCTGGGCTGCAGAGCGAAACGTTTTCGCCGGACCATATGCTTCCTTTCCATTGCTGACAATACCAGAGAGACGCATGCCTGAATAACAACAACATAGCTGTGTGTTATAAGTATGTTTATAGTGGTAGGCAGTCACTCTCTGACGCTTCTGTTTCTTTAAGGTATTGGCAAGACGTGAAGAGACTCAGGGAAATGCAAGCATATACAAATACCTCATTAGTTCTCAAAGTCATAAGGTATAATTGACTTTCTCTCCAGAAATTTTTTTACTTTCATTATTTTTTTCCTTAAAGTTCATTAATTTGTAGCCAGCCAATGCTACATTTTGATGAACAAGCAGTGATACTCGAGATATTTAAGCAGCTTTTTAACACCAATCAAGTCAAGCTCTCCTTCATTAAATTGCTTCAGTCATTCTGATCAACATTCCTGGTATTTATTTCAAGCCTTCTTTTTTTCTCTCTTTCTTTACATCTGTTCAAAACTTCTTAGATTTCTCTACCCTTCCATTTTGCGTACACACTCACTTTCTATTTCAGCTCCGTTAAATGTAACAAGTCAGTTAGTTTGTTAGGGAATATCCCTTTGTCAAAATCAAATGAGCACTCGTCATGTGTATTGTCAAAAATATTAAAGTCCTTGCCATGCTTGTGATGACAAATATGCATGCTTGTGAAATTTTGATAAACCATGTGAAATTGTGTAGTGGTATTTTCAAAAAATGATAAGTAGGAAAGTGGCCAAATATTGGTCGAAAAAGTGAAGCAACTTTCAAACATTCAGGAAATTTTTATACCATACAGTTCGTAATAAAGTACCAATATTTTTAGACAAGCAACGAATAAAGATGAAGAAAGGCAATCGTACTTAAAAGACGTAAACGAAGAACTTCAAGAGCACAGGTATTTTCTATTAGCGCGTTATTACAACAATTGATATGCACTGAATTTCAAATTTCTATATGCACATAGGTTGCTAGTGAGGTAGAACCTCAGGCCAATAAGGATTCGAATTTATGATCCCGATATATATACCCATTGCTAGCAAACACCAGATGTCCATGTTTCTAGTAATGATTTATAGGTCTACGTCCCTCTATAATTCCCTATCGGCTGCCAATGCTATGTTAAACCAGTGACTTACTTATATACCACCTGTTTCTTGTTTTTAAAAACTATTGTCGTTTGCTTTGCATAGACAAGATATGAAGAGCAATACAAAGATAAATATGGCGAATATGAGAGACAAATGTTAGAATGGAAGAAACAAATGAAACTGAGGGTAATGCATTTCGCTTCCCTGCTGTCCAATAATGACTATGAATTTTCTTTGCAAATCATATCTGCGATTAGTTGTCAAATAGGCGTGTTCTTCATTATATTATTAATTTATGTCTATGAATGTTAAATTTTAGATAGACAAATTTTGTTTTACAAGCCAGGTTTTTTCTATTCCAGTATGATAAACCGGTCTTCCCGGTGCACACATCAAGAAAAAATAATTTCTTTTTAGACTTTACTCGACTAAAAGTCTCTGTTCACAATGAACTTGGCATTAACTTTGGGCTCGGCGCCATTTTGAAAGTATTATCATAGATCTTATAACAACATCCACTCTCCAGTCTAAACATTTACATAATTTTGGTGATGGGAGGAGCAAGTCTGGAAAGGTTGCAGACTTCTGTCGCAATTCATGATACCAGTAGTTTTTCTCGGAACCTCTGTAGTGACTGACTGACATGGCTTTGAGGAGATCTTGTTGCTCACAAACACAACAAATCCACAATCTGTTGCCCTGTTTCTCAGTTGCTCAGTTGTTTTCTGTGGTTGTTTTAGCTACTCACTAATTTGATGATATTAGCAATAGATCAGATGATCTAAGCAAAGCAAGCCTTTCTGGTACGATTGGTGCCGAAGTGACTGTTAAGAATTGTTTCATCTTTCACGTGTTGCTTTTCAAGATGGTGGATTGGATTAAGTGAAGTGTAATGTATTCTGTGGACAGTGTCTCATTTCGTAATGTTTTAGCGCATAAGATGAATCGAAATGTTTTCCTACTCAAACCATTGCGATTATCGACAATGTTCAAAAATTTGTCCTGTTATAAATTATGTCTAGTTTCAAGAATTTAGGCTGTTGCTTGTAGCAAGATTATAGTTTTGTCTTTGTTTTGGTGAGTTTATTAATAAAAATAAGATGAAACGTGTTAATCAAATTACGATGGATCCTTTTCGAATTACGAAAAAATCTGAATTGTTGCTATCTTTCGTTTTTCAAAAACTAACTTTTTGAGAAAAAAAATCCATTCTGTCTATAAATGTAACTTCTTAAATAAGCTTAACTGGCACTAATATGGCTTCACCTCTTCTAGAAACGCAAAGCTCAGAGGCGACTTGAACAAAGCCAAGCGAACCCAGATCTCGCTGAACTTGGAAATGAAGAAACCGAACCATGTATGACAACAAAACCTTAGTCCTAATGTTTTCCTTGTTGTTAGAATTTTCTTTTTTCTTAGTTAGGTCAAATCCAAATTTCAAGTCAAACAATCAAGCCAAAATCAATAAAAAATTGAGCCTAAATTATTGCAATGAAAACTTACAGATTTTATCAAAAAGCTGTTGTGGTTGCCTACAATGCTCTAAAAGGCAAGCAGGCTGTGTCTAAAAAGTGCTTGGAAGGAGGCCTATCAACTATCAGGGTCCATATAAGCGTAAACCTTTTCCAAGACAAAAACGCGCATTCCCTGGAAACGAAGAGTGTGTTAAATTAAACGTAACCATTTTTTAAGATAGCGCTGAAAAGCAGAAACATAGCAAATTAGAATACTTTTCTTCCGGCACTTTTCCGAATATAAACGTCGATAATGGCTCAAGTCAAGCAGAAGGTTTATATCCAGATTCGGATCGAAAGTGGCACGAGAAGAGCAAAGTTGGATTGGTTTCGTGTTTTTGACCAATCAGCGACTGCTAACCTCCCACCTAGTTAGAGAGCCAAAGAGAGAAAACAAGCTCTCTCTGTTTCCACTTTTCCGTCCTTACTTCCACTTTTGTGGTACCAATAGCTTATTTGGATAGTTTATTTACTTAAGACATCTTGCCTGCGTATCGATCTATTGTCTCCAAACCTATAAACTATTTCAGTTCCATATCTAAAGTTAGAAACTGTCCATAGTTTTAATCGTCAACTTCGCCTACAATAATTAAGGTGTTGTTCATTGTCATGATGACAAAGGAATCCTGACCCCTAAGTTAGTTGTTCTTCTGTGTTTATCTTGTGTTTGTCATTATGAAAGTCATTCGTTTGTGACTTTTGTGAATGGTTGATGTGCTGGATGTGAGATTTTATGAAATGGTTATTTAGTCCTAGCAGCTCTAATGCTCTTTCGTGAATGCTGAAGACTAATTATCTTCAGAAATTTGTAGTATTAAGCTTTTTCCTTTCCTTTCATCCTTCATGAATCCATTAATATTTCGTCTATTTTCTCATACAGTGCCAAGGCCCGAACCACCCCCTGATTTTGATGAAGGCGCTGCATTGGCATCCATTGAAGAGAGGCTGAAGCGTTGCAGAAGGAGGCCAGGTATCAATATTGACTAATGCTTAATAAAAATTTTGATCTTCTCTCTTATATGAAGTCTGCAGAACCAGGCATATCATAGTTGAATTATATTTTATATTTCAAATGTCAAAGATGAAAATCGACTAAACAACAATGTAAGTATGTTTAGAGTCAGGGCATGAAATCCCACCCGACTATGTGACCGGTCGGTCGCAGGAAATCTTTTCATGCATAAAGTTCTGCCGGAAATTTTTTACAATATACCCTTTTGCAAGAATACCTTTGTTTCCTTCATGTTCATCAATAGAAAGATATGAAGACAAAAGTTTTTTATAGGTCATACCTACGAACCCTTGAATTGTTTTTGAAGATACTTGTTTGATGAGAATTTACAGTCTCTCATCTGTTTTAAGAATATTCTCTGGATTGAAGGAGATTATATCATTGCTAAGATCCTTTTCCAGATCAATTTAGGTGTTAATGAATAAATAATAATTTTTAGTCACAAAATCAGAAAATGAATTTGAAATGGTAGTAAAATTGCTATAACTTTTATAAATGTAGCTTTCAAGGTTGTAAAACTGGTGAGACATCATCACAGTTGTTGGAAACTGACCCTTTCTTTATCTTTCCATTCTGGCAGAAAATTTATGCGTGATTTTCCTCCGGTCGCAGGGAGAAGAAAATTTTTCAATGCCCTGTTTAAATGAATAGTACATTTTCCTAACTATTGAAACAGGTTACTTGCGTACTGATTTTTGTGTACCGTATCTGCCCCTTCCTTTCGAGTAAACCTGCACCAAACGTTTTTGTATAAAGTTTGCAGTCTCTGTACAGTAAACGTTCTCATTCTTATAAAGAAATAAAGTTGAATTTGTTTCAAGTGAAGTGTACAGTAACCCAGCCATGTAACATTGCAGTATGCACGCCGATATCTAGTGTAACCTGAAATATGTATGTATTGAAACTAAAACTTTTCTCCGCACTTCAGGTGAGGCAATTCTTACGCCAGAATTACAAACAGGTGCCAATGTCACTCCTACAGAGCAGTGTCCAAGGTAGGAAGCCTCTCTTTCATGATCATCAGTGAGCCAATCCTTCGTTACTGCCTCGCAGTGTTGTAGCGACCTTAAAATGAGGCAGTATCGAAACAGAGGCTCGTGGAGTGAGTCTAGCAAGGGAGTGACTAATCAATAGTTATGAACAGATGTTTTTGCTAATGAAGTAACTTTGGTTCGGTCGTGATTCTTAAAAATTATGGCAATTCTTTAGCAAAACAAAGGTCTTTCACTTCCAGTATCTCAACCAATTTGAAGCTGATATAACTGGATTTTTCCCTTTTCGAGGTATTTCGCGGTTTTATTTGGGCTTTTTCATTAATCACGTCAAATAGGCTTTAGCCACTCTGTTTTTTGACTATCAACAATTTCCTATCTATGTAAGAGCAGCAAAATGGAAAACAACATCTTTCACATGCATATTTAAATAGTATGTCTCATGAAGTTTTAAGATTCTTGCCATATGACAAGAAACTTGCAAAGAACATCTCAGGGAACTGTTTTGCAAGTGAAAATCTGCTCTTCCTACTAACTAGGGCTCGTTAAATCTCTAGAAAAACCTAATTTGATCATAATACATAACAATACGAATTTTTTCGTCGCTTAAACAAAAATTACTTAGCATATTTGATATTTTTCTCGGTTTAGGAACGAACAGCTACGTAGAGCTGAAATAAAGAATGCAAAATATCACGTGAAGGTGATGTTTAACGACAAGGAAGTATCAAGAACAGTCGTCAAGTATGGGAAACATTTTCAATTATCATCTCTGCAGCCTCTAACTATTTTCACATTTCTTGTTTTCTCGAGATTCATCCAAAGGTGGCTTGTTCCATCAAATTCTCAGTGATTTTCTCTTTGTATCTTCTCTTGAGATATTTAATTACAGTTTTTTAATATGCTGGTATCCCAAACCTGTCCTGTTAGGTGGAGATCCTCTGATATTATACCTTGATTTCTAACAAAGTTGATTGTAATGATAATAATTAATGTTGGAAACTTTACTGTTGAAAATATTTTTAATCTCTTTAACCCAGATTGTATTCCTGAAAATATATGTTTGAATTATCATTCTTAATTCTTTGTTTATCAGGTCTCTGGCATCAGATTTTAGGATACATTTTGGGGAAATCTTAAATGTGCAAGTTTTGCAGTGGCCGGAGAGCATAAAACTGCAGGTTAGAGCGTGGCATTTGCTACCGTGTATGACTTCCTAGTCTATAAAGAATTTTTGTTTTAATTTTTTATGTGGTTTTTTAAGTTATTTAAGGATCAATTTATAGATTTTAGAATATTTTGGCTCTTATAGAGTCGTTTTATAAAAGTTTACTTAGAGAAAGAGACGTGTCTATTTTTTTCTATGCACGGAAGATCAACAACCAAGGCTAACAATATCAAAAGCATTAGAAATCAGTTATGAATCAAAAGAGTCCTGGGCTTGGCAAGAGTCCCAGAGTTCCTATTGCATTTTTCTAAACACAATGTGTATTCATTAAGATAGTAAAGTACGAGTTATTATGTTTTTATGTAAAAATGTTAGTGGAGATAGAGAAAAATTAAATGAAACATTTTTCATACTACTTTGCAACGCATTCCTTTCTATCTATGGACTTCTTTAATGAGTGCTACAACGCTTTTATACTTGTCTTGAAAAGGGTTTCGTCTTGATTGCAAAATTCTCGTACTGCGAAATGATTTACAGGGGATCCTTTTAGATATCGTTGCAGCTATTTTTTGCAACTTTATCTGCTGTAGCAATGTTGTCAAGAAAAGCCTTTGGATATCAAATTTCAACGCAAGGGAACTCAGATTTTAAAAACACCACATCCAGTTTTGTAGTTAAATCAGATTCCAGGCTAAAGGCTTTTGAAATCATAAGTTTTTCCCAAGTTAAAAGTTGATTTCGTTGTGAAAAGTAAAGCATGTGATATCATAAAGTTAGGTCTCCTAATTCATATTTACTTTCTAAAAGTTTCAGCAAATATTCGTGCCTGCATTGGAAAGAATTAAAATATTGCTTTGCTTTGCTTTGCTTTGCTTTGCTTTGCTTTGCTTTGCTTTGCTTTGCTTTGCCTTGCTTTGCTTTGCTTTGCTTTGCCTTGCTTTGCTTTGCTTTGCTTTGCTTTGCCTTGCTTTGCCTTGCTTTGCTTTGCTTTGCCTTGCTTTGTTTTGCTTTGCTTTGCTTTGCTTTGCTTTGCTTTGCTTTGCTTTGCTTTGCTTTGCTTTGCTTTGATTTGCTTTGCTTTGCCTTGCTTTGCTTTGCTTTGCTTTGCTTTGCTTTGCTTTGCTTTGCTTTGCTTTGCTTTGCTTTGCCTTGCTTTGATTTGCTTTGCCTTGCTTTGTTTTGCTTTGCTTTGCTTTGCCTTGCTTTGCTTTGCCTTGCTTTGCTTTGCTTTGCTTTGCTTTGCTTTGCTTTCCTTTGCTTTCCTTTGCTTTCCTTTGCTTTCCTTTGCTTTCCTTTGCTTTCCTTTGCTTTCCTTTGCTTTCCTTTGCTTTCCTTTGCTTTCCTTTGCTTTCCTTTGCTTTCCTTTGCTTTCCTTTGCTTTCCTTTGCATGAATTGATTTTTTCCACAATGACTCTAAAATGTTACTTTCTAACAGATATTCGACAGTACTGGCTGGGCAAACACTTTGATTGCTGACCTATTTGTTCCTATTCCGGAAGCTTCAATGGTGTCCGGAACAGTTGATGTTGAACCGTTTGAGTTCAGTAGCGATCGCTTTCTCGCTTACAAACATTCTGCAGTTGGCAGTGGTATGTCAAAAGATGCAAGATCGTTCAATATTGCACCTTGTACTTTTATATTCACTTCACGCTTTGAAAATTTAATATTACCATCTTACTGATATGATATTTTGCTATTTAAAGAAACCTTTATGTGAGCAAAATTACAGTATGCATAATAAATTCGAACTAGTTTATTACAAAAACTATTTGGTCAAAGGCAACTATTCATTTGAACTGCAAAAATAAGACGTTTTTGTTCATGACCTTTAGTGAGATCTAAAAGTAATTTGAAAGATATTCAAACGAAGAGTTTGAAGACGAACCAGGGAATGGATCTTCTGTAACACAACTTGGATAATAATCTCGCATATTGCGTTCCAGTCATCTCATTGAAATATTCAAAGCAATGTTTTCGTCTGACAAACCAAATAAGCAATTACCGATATTGTAGCCACTTAAATTTAAAATATAAACATTCATTGCATCATTTTTAACTCCTGACATTTGAAAGCTTTTTCTGTGACATCTTCAAGTCGTTACACTTATATTCACGCCTTTCCCTTTGAAAAATAATTGCGTTAAGACATTGCCTAGACATAACCAAATTAAAGCTGTCTTATGCTTCCACGATGTTGCTTCTAAGGTGTCAACGTCGATCTAAATATTCAACAAGAGGCTGAACAGGAGCCGCCCGTCACATTATTAACTTCTGGCATTCTCTACTCGAATGTCTCTTGGGGTATTGATGACGATGGCAAACCAATGGCTCCACCCTCTAGAACCCATGGGAAAGCTCCCGGACAGAGGTTTGTTCCGAATCTTCAATTTTCTAAATCGACTAACTCAATTATTTACAGATCCCAAATTATGTGTTTCTCTGACAGATTTCGAAATATGTATTTATAGTATTCTTTTCAATTAGCGGACACCGTCGGGGTACGATCAAGGTGTCCGCTAATTGGAAATGTCCGCCTTTTGGAAAGTTTTGCAATGCAAGTCCCAAATTTGAAAATGGACCCGAGTTTTGTATTTAAAAGGTGTAATCAATGGTGGCGCTAGGGAAGGGCTACATCCCCTCCGTCGGAAGTATCTAGCCCCCCATCGGAGGAAGTTATTGGAAAGAGGCTGAATCGTGGGGGTGGCTATGGTCTGGAGATTCCAGTAATTTACCACTTTCATGGACAAGAAAAGTTAGTAAACTGGGCTGTAAAGAAGCTCAAAGCTGTAAAAACCAACTAGATTGTCAAAAGTCAAAGTGTTTGAAATTGATATTTGAACAAATATTCATTCGTCTAAGTTTTTTGCTTGCTGGCTCCTAACTTTTTTGTAATGTCCGCTAATTGGAAAAAAAGAGCCAAATTGACTATTTTGTGCAAAAAATATTGTCCGTTAATAAGAGTGTCCGCTAATTAAGTGTCCGCTTTGTAGAAAGTTTTTTATGAGACTTTGACCAGAAAACGATCGGGAAAAAAATTTGTCCGCTAATCAGAGGTGTCCGCTTTTTAGAGTGTCTGTTAATTGGAGAGAATACTGTATATCCAGAGCATTTTTTTGTGTCGCACTATGTAGCATTACCTGAAGTATTTTTTAAAGCCCTGCTTAAATTTCAGATTAAAGTTGATAGTAAAATAAGAACTAAAAATTGTTTGGTATCATTTCATCTTTTAAGTCAATGTTTTCTGTTTCTGGTATTTTTTTTCTACCAATTAACGAAGCTAGTAGAAAAAGTCTTGCTTCGTCTATGTTCTTGGATTTTTTATAAACACTTTCAAAGACATATTTTAGTATCACGCTAGGATTTGTTGCTTTCTGTCGTTTTTGTCTTTTAGTATGTTACATATTGTTATTGATTTGTTATTATATCGTTTTTTTATATGTTCGTATGTGATATCATGTCATGTCGCGTCGAGTCGCGTCATGTAGTGTGTTTTAATGTCATGTCATACCGTGACGTGCCACTTTGTGTCATGACATGTCATGTCATGTCATGTCATGTCATGTCATGTCATGCCACTTTCATTTGCATTACGGTTTGTACTTTCTTCGTCTGCTCATTTTAGCCGAATCAAACACCACGATGCCCTGTCTGCTCTGGGAGCGGCTGGCGTTATTGACATGGAAATGCTCGTTTCTTGGATATGTATGTTAGAGTTTTGAATACAATCCCTGACATGTTTTCACTACAATCTGCTTTCTCAAAGCGTCCTTTTCCATTACTGCATAAGATTCTGACAGCTTTTGAATAAACCTGTCGGGATAATCTTTAAACTCATTGATCTACTAATGCTTTAAGCAAGAGTTTCCTCTTGTTCGTGTAGAAGAAGAAGTTCAAAATCTATTAATTGTGTTATGCTAGACACATATAGAGAGAAATATATTGCATCATGTTTCTTATTTTTTTCGTACTGTAGCAATCCTCTGTTTATTCTAACATTTCGCTAACAGGAAGTTTGATTCATTTTTAATCATACTCGAGTAACGTTTATCTGATATTGTTCCTTTGTGGGACTTTCCTGTGTCCTGAAGTCAGCCAAAAATTAGTTCTATTTCAACTGCTAGAAATCCTTCTTTTGTAACATCATTTTAAACTGTTTTTTAATTTTTAAAATTACTGTATTAATTCTTTTTAGCCGAAGCAAACCTGGACCCTAACGATCCAACTAATGCTGACATCATCAATCTGGCAAAGGTACGAGCCTCTTACTGATATTAGGGCTTGGCTTCATCTTCATCAATGCCAGTTTGCAGATACTTTTATGCGTTCCGACAAACTTTATTAGGGAACCGTTCGCAAATCTGTTTTAAAGATTATTTTTTAACCAGTTTTTATTACAGTGCAGGTTCTTTTTCTATGATCTTGGATCTTGCTAATAAATTTTATGGACAAATCAATCTGTATAAATAAGAATGGATTTTCTAAAGTTTTCACTAATGTAGGTTTTATGGATTTTAAATGTTGAAGTAATAAACGACGGAAGAAATTTGAAAGGATGATTACCAATGATAAAAATGACTCTGGTGGCTCAAACTCATTTACGTCATCGAAATTCCTAACCCAATTCCTGCTTAGATTATCTTTTCAATGTTTTTCTAAGTTATAAAATGTTAAATATGTTTCATTTAGTATTGTTTTCACCTTCAATATTTTCTGTTTATTTGTAAAGGTTATGAACACGTCCGGCGATAGTTTGTCTAGGCCTAAATATTTCAGACTTAATCAACTGGAAGGAGAAACGGACTTTGCTACTGAGGAGGAGCTTGAAAACTGCAAACGATTCAAACTGATCCAATTCAGAGATGAAGGTGTAAGTACTTAAATACCCTCTGGCTTCTAGATTAAAAAGGAATTAAAAATACCCTCTTTGAAACACAGTTTAATGTTCCCATTATTTTCACTTTTCCAGTGAAATTGATCCTCAGCCTTCTGCTAGATTTCTGTTGTTCTCACTCTCTATTTTTTGCTTTATTAAATGATCCCTCTGTACATATTGTCACGCAGATTCCCGAGTTCAAGAATTTGAAAATGATTCCCTCTGATGACAAGTACATACCAGACTCTATGTTTGAGGTTTGCTTCATTCCTGATTGATTCACGTGTTTAGATATTTGATTCTATGTGACTTTCTTGTAGATGTTTAATTCTATTTAATTTTCAGCTGAGATTCAATTGAATAACTTTTGAAATGCGAGTTAGTGTTCTATTCGATGCGGAGATTGCATGTCACAGTGTTAGGAGGTTTTTATCCTCCTTTTGACTGAGTTGCTCTTCATTCTTAACCCTGATTCAACCAGACTCCCAAATTTAACACCTCTTAGGATCAGACCGAGTAAGCAAGTGTATTAAACTCGCATCACATATCCTATCCTATAAGCCATTTTTTTGTAAATTGAACTCCCACAAATTTTGGCAAACACCTATTTTAATACACAATCAAAGGAACAAAAACTTTGCCATCGCTGAAAATTTCTTAAACAGTGATGTTTATTCTAGTTGTACGAGAAGAGGCTGAAAGGAGAGGAACAGATCGAGGCTGAGGGAGAATTATCGCATAGAGCTAGAGTTTCTAATTTCCTCGCTCAGGTTTTTAGAAGATTTTTCATTTGGATTATGCTCGCTCGTTGCATTTATATGATAGAATATACTTTTGTCAGATGAAGTACTGCAGATAGAATATTTACAATAACCGTTAGTTAATCTTTACTTTTTTTATATATATATATCAATCAAGAACAACTAAAACTACTTAAACTACAATTACCAATGGAGTCCAAGAGAGAAAACGAACTCCTTCTGTCTACACAATGGCGGCTTTTTCGTTTTTATGTAGATTGACTCCAAAACTGCTAGATGGAAGGACGACCGGGCTCTGCCAATTATCCGAAACATGTCGTCATTATAGAGTTTTGCACAATCTAGGTTGTCTAAAAGATGTTGACCAATGGCAGAATTACTTGTTTTAACAGTGTTTCTAGACCTACAAGATCGAGGAGGCTGTTCTCTTTGAGGGGCAGTTTTGTTTCGTATGTTGGAAGGAACATGCTGTTTTATCCTATCCCCCAATCTTTGGGTTGTGCGCCCTACGTAGCCAGAATCACACTGGCACGTAAATTCATAAATGACGGAACTTTTTTGTTTGGTAGGAATGCAATCCTTTTGAATGGATGGAAGGGCTCTCCTAGTGCTGTAAACAATCCAAGGATTGACAGCAAAGAAACAATTGGTTATGGCTTGCCTAATCTGACTCTCGAATCGCAAGGAAGTGTTACCAATCCATGGTAGTTTCAAATAAACTGGGCACTTTTGCGGACCAAACTTTTAAACAGCCGAAAAACTTGCGATCTTCTCCTTAGTATAAGATAAAATGACGTCTTCAGGATAGCCGTTGTCCAAGAAGATCGTTTTGAGTTTTTCCAGTTCAGCGTGCAGTTTAGATTTCGAGCAGATCATAAGTGCCCTATGTACTAATGTTTTGACAAGGTTGACTTTGCGTTGTTTTGGGAAAAAAGAATTCCAGCGTATGTACTGACCGGTAAAAGTAGGCTTGCGATATACACTGGTAAGAAATCCAGTGTTAGACTTTTCGACCAAAACATCTAAAAATGGCAAGGAATCATTTTCTTCCTTTTCAAACGTAAACTGGAGGGCTGGGTGTAGGCTATAAAGGTGTTTTAGAAAAATATCACACTCAGCCTCTGTTTTGAAAATGGTATATGTGTCATCCACATACCGAAAATAGACACCTGGCTTTTGATCGTAGTCGAACAAACGCCCTTCATGAAAGCCAACAAAGATATTGGCCAAGGCAGGTCCCAGAGGGTTTACCCATAGCGACACCATCCTTTTGTTGGTACATTTCATTGTTAAAACTGAATTCAACTGAACGTGTTGCAGTTTCCATCAGTTCAATGAATACTTCCTCTGGGAATGGTGGGCTATTAAGCTCGCTCCGGTACAAAGCGTCGGCACATATTTTGATGGTCTCACTCAAAGGAACATTTGTGAAAAGACTACTAATGTCAAAAGAACACATGAAAGATGTTTCGTTTTCGATGTTCAAGTTTTGCATGAACTCAGCGAACGTAAAAGAAGCCCTCTGGGACCTGCCTTGGCCAATATCTTTGTTGGCTTTCATGAAGAGCGTTTGTTTGACTACGACCAAAAGCCAGGTGTCTATTTTCGGTATGTGGATGACACATATACCATTTTCAAAACAGAGGCTGAGTGTGATATTTTTCTAAAACACCTAAATAGCCTACACCCAGCCCTCCAGTTTACGTTTGAAAAGGAAGAAAATGACTCCTTACCATTTTTAGATGTTTTGGTCGAAAAGTCTAACACTGGATTTCTTACCAGTGTATATCGCAAGCCTACTTTTACCGGTCAGTACATACGCTGGAATTCATTTTGCCCAAAACAACGCAAAGTCAACCTTGTCAAAACATTAATACATAGGGCACTTATGATCTGCTCGAAATCTAAACTGCACGCTGAACTGGAAAAAACTCAAAACGATCTTCTTGGACAACGGCTATCCTGAAGACGTCATTTTATCTTATACTAAGGAGAAGATCGCAAGTTTTTCGGCTGTTCAAAAGTTTGGTCCGCAAAAGTGCCCAGTTTATTTGAAACTACCATGGATTGGTAACACTTCCTTGCGATTCGAGAGTCAAATTAGGCAAGCCATAACCAATTGTTTCATTGCTGTCAATCCTCGGATTGTTTACAGCACTAGGAGAGCCCTTCCATCCATTCAAAAGGATTGCGTCCCTACCAAACAAAAAAGTTCCGTCATTTATGAATTTACGTGCCAGTGTGATTCTGGCTACGTAGGGCGCACAACCCAAAGATTGGGGGATAGGATAAAACAGCATGTTCCTTCCAACATACGTAACAAAACTGCCCCTCAAAGAGAACAGCCTCCTCGATCTTGTAGGTCTAGAAACACTGTTAAAACAAGTGATTCTGCCATTGGTCAACATCTTTTAGACAACCCAGATTGTGCAAAACTCTATAATGACGACATGTTTCGGATAATTGGCAGAGCCCGGTCGTCCTTCCATCTAGCAGTTTTGGAGTCAATCTACATAAAAACGAAAAAGCCGCCATTGTGTAGACAGAAGGAGTTCGTTTTCTCTCTTGGACTCCATTGGTAATTTTTCTTTAGGCTCGCGGCACTGATTGGTCAACTATACCGGTCTTGTGCTTGCGTTTTTCTAAACTACAATTACATTAAGCTGTGACATTCATGGCGAGGAAAGACACAAGGTCACCGAGTCCTCGCCATGAATGCCACATACAATTCAACAACAAGTTACATCATCTAAGAAAAAAAGAAAATTTTTACTTCAAGTACATTTAAGCACTTTTAAACTCAACCAATGTTCAACGGGCTACAATTTTACATTACAATATCATTACAACATCAACAACATAACTGTCCTCTTTTTGAGTATTTTCCTAGACTTTTTTTACTTTCGGGTATCAGTTTTAATACCAGGACTGATTATATAATCAAATCTTCCTAAAACTTTAGCAACTTATTTTTCATTTCAAGAAAGCTTTTTCTTTAACATTTTGTTTCACACCAATGGACTTTATATTTCTTTGGAAATTTTAGGCAAGAAAGAACGTCCTGGCACGCTCGCAGATAGCAAAGAGGCAACTGGATCTTGCGGATGTTGTTATCGAAGATGAAGTGCCAGATATTGGGTACCGTCTCCTTAATTAAGATACCATCTCCTTAATCTAAATTCTAATCATTTCATCTTACTGTTTGTAGATACATTTTTGGCTTGTAGTCAAAAGGCTCTGTTGTCGGCATGTTGGTTTAAAGGCATGCAACTCATTAGAGACTGTTTATTTCAATAAGGACTTGAATCTAGCCTATTTAAAAGTTTTCGTCCTTTCACACTCTCACCCTTTTCTGTTTATTTTCTATTCCATCAGAAGTATCAGTTAAACAACTTCCTTTTCTTTTTCTTATAATACCCACAGTCTACACATAGTCGTTATATCAGCAACAAATTTTGCTACTTGTAAAACTTGTCTGAACAATTGTTTATTCCAACGTAGAACTCTTGGTGCTCGCCTCGGTCAGATTTTTGCTAAACGACATCCCCTAAAACCAGAACGAAAGGAGCGGAAACGAATAGGAGGCCAAGTAAGTTGTCTATTTGATAGTAAGACGCTGCCTGTATGCTTTGATGAAAAGAATCTGATCGCTGACTTAAGGAATGGTGACTTTTATATTTCAAGATTAGAAACGAGTGTATAATTGATAAAATGGCTGTGTATCGCTTCAACCCAGGCCCCAATTGATAAGCTTAAAAGCTGATACAAATGGCATATCTTGCTATTCCACTTCATCGCGAAAAAATCAATTTGTTTAACCAAAAGAGCAAAAGCATTAATGAAAAATTGTAAGATCTTGAACATGAATTTAGAACGAAAAAGATCCTGTTTTTTAAATTTTATACATTTTAAATAAAGAAAACTTATCTGGTAGAGCTTCTATTCACACATGCATGCCAAATTGTTCCATATTTCCAAAGAAATGGACGTTTTAGATGGACTGTAGAACTGAAGATTACGTATCATGCTAAATGATGATTAAATTTACCTTGATTAAATAAATTCACTTTTCCATTAGGTCCTTATGAGCTACTAATGAGTTGTATTCGCTTGAGTGCGAATTTTCTTTTTCAGTATGACCATCAAGCAATATCAACTCCTTTTCTAGCCCCCAAGGCCTAAACTATTAACTAAATTTTTTTTTAAGAATGTAATTGCAAGTCCTGAAAGATGTGAAGAAATGACGCAACCACCTGAAGCCCGTTGTTTCGTACTTTGATTTGACCCAATTCCTATTTATGATACTTACCACAAATTGCAGCTTTGTATGAACACTGTGCCCAAAAATTCTTCTTTGCCTAGAATTTGTCGAGTGTGAAACAAGTGAAGATTTTCATCAATATTGTGCGGGCATTTGACGTTCCCATCAGGGCTGAGTCATCGCGAAACATGTATGTAGAAATGCAGCATATTTCACTATTTTCAATAATTTTGTTATGATAAGTAAGGACATTCAGGATGCATTTCTATCCAATGTAACTTTAACACCATTTTTCAGTGATAGTGTGGTCTTAAATTTTGGGAAGTTGCTTCCTTACAAAGTTTTAAATGCTGGAAATTGAAATTCCAATTTAGTTGAAGAAAATTTGTGGTTATTAAGATATTATGATGGATCGTTTATTTTGCTACAAATATAATTACTATTTATTTATCTAACTAATATTATGCTTATTCTTTTATACCATTTTACGAAAAATATCCAATTATTTAAGTTAAGCTGGTTCGCAAGAGCCAGGTAACTTAGTTCCACATTGGCTCAGAGACAATTTTATTCACATCATCAACCTTTAATAAATTGTATTTTAATTGGTTATACGGTTCTACGACTTTGAAAAGATCACACACTGTCATCTAGGCCATATGCCCGAGTTGGCACTTGCAAAGCTAGAAATGTTTCCCTCTTCTATCTAAACCATTCGTTCCTCTGTTGTTATGAAGTTTCTGAAATATAAATTTTTTCAACAGGCGGGCACCGATGTCAAGTCACAACGTGCCTGGTCCAAGCGACTCAATGGCCAGCGCACAGCCCAGTATGTTTTCTGCTGCTGGGCGTGGTCTCCAGGCAAGCTACAGTTCAAGAATGTCAGCTCAACAGCCTCATCAACAACAAACTGGCGGTTATAATGCTGGTCAAATGAGAGTTGAGGTAATTGCACCATGTTGTTTTAGTTTGCATTAGTGGATTATTATGAATGCTGCGACGTGCTTCTTTAGAATACACCGCTGCCGAAAATGTCCTCTCTTATTTCTATGCATTAGTCATTATTTACCAGGTCCCAAACCATTTACTACACTAAATTATGAATTCTTCTGCAAATATTTTATTTCCTCCTGTTCATTACTGTTTGATCTTTGTAAGTATGAAAACGCATCGTTAAGTTTTATTTAGTGACAATACGCTGTCGATCACTTCTCGATTTTGTTAAAGTATGGTTTTACATAGTGACATAGAAAAAGGTTAATTTTCTGTGGGTTTTATTAGGTATCAGAGATAATGCTTCAGCAAAAATTGTGCAACACCGAGAAACCTTCAGGCATCTTTTTGAATTTCGAGTGACATTTCATCTTAACTATCCAATTTTGAGTTTTTCAACCCCAATTTATATTTATTGATGCAATCAAGATTATTAATTCTTAGCGTTTTTGTTTGGTTTTAATTTCCCTTTATTTTCTTTTTGAATTCACATAATTTTAGTCTCTGGTACGGCCATACGTGGAAATAATGTTTCAAGGAAATTTCGTGAGAACAAGCGTTGCTGATGGACCACTGCCAAACTGGAACGAAGAGCTGGTTATACCGTTCAGGTTTGTGATCTTCGTTGTTGCAATTTAAAGAAAAGGGATTGGCAATAGGAGTTCTGAAACCATCATATGCTAAAAGCTGTTAATATGAAATCCATAAGGCTGAAGAGGGACGGGGAGTTCTTCATCTGACACTGCAAAACCCATAGTCATCATATAAGAGTTCTCTTGCCATGGTACTATGAAGTGGCGTTTCCTTTTCTTCTAAATCGAAGTTCGTAGCACACTTATATCAAAGGTATATCTCAAGTTCTTCTTATTTTTTAAATCTAAGTAGGTCACTATTAGAATTGACCACAAAGGGAGATTAATTTATTTTTCATATCACAGGTATATCACATGTTCTCTTCAATTCGATACCACAAAACCAAGCAAATACTCTGATCTTAGTTACAACCTGATTGACAACACCATTCGTGTGTACTTTTCATCATTTTCTATTCTATCTTTTTTCTAGAGCTCCAAACAACGATTATTCAACAGAAAATCTGCAGACTGTTAAAGAAAATGTGTACATAAACTTATTTGATGAAGTCATTGTTGACGTGTTGCAGGTTAGTGCGATGTTTTGCTGCTAAGACATCCACCTCCATTTCTTTGTATTGAATTAATCAATATACCGAGATATCACTGGTTTTCCAGGCGTTTGATAAGACATTCTTAAACTTTTGGCGTCATAGTAACATTGACGCTAACCAAGGATGGTTTCTGACGCCATTCCTTTTTTATTTTGTTTGCTTTTGTTGAATCCTGACAAACAGTGACACGCTAGGTACACATCTAATCCGGTATACATAATAAACAGATTTGTAGAATTTGTCCGGAAACTTCTTTCTGATTGCTCTCTTAGGACGAAAGGCAACGCGGTACCAACATACAACAAAGGGTGGAAAAATTTTGGCTTGGAAGCTTATCAATTCCATTTTCAACAATTTACTTTAACTCTCAGGTTTGTATTCTTGAACTTCGGTGCTATTAAGTTCCTATGGCTTATACTTCCTATGCAGCCATCCTTGGGCGCAGGGTAAACTCTCTTTGCCCATGAGCATCTCACCACACCTTTTGAAGTTTTCACAATAAAGATTGAGAATCATAACACCAGTCTGGATTGCCAACAGCTACAAGTGCAATCGAACAACGTAGAGATTCAACAGAAAAGGCAAGGCTAGCACTATATAATCGGCCTAGTGCCAAGGTAATGCATGTCGGGAAGGTGTCGCGTTGATTGTTTCTTAGCAACATGAGATCATATATCTATCTGTCATGATTGGCGCCATCAGTACTGTACAGTACCAAACTATTCAGTTGTCACTTCTACGAAACAGTTATGTAGCAAAGTTGTGGTAATAAGATATTTGATCCTTCTCATATATTGTAAATTATATATTGTACATTATATATTGTACATTGTGTTCATTTTCTTACATTATAAGATTATCGTGATCTTCATAAAAAGGTCACTAAAATGTTTTAACAATTTGGAATAAAGAGTTCACTTCTAGTAATAATAAAAATGTATACAAATGACAGTGATGATGCTTGTGTTGTAGGTAAAAGGGCTGATGAGGTTGAATACACCCCCGGTTCTTCTTGGTTACCAGTCAAGCAGAAATAAGATATCGTTTGGTGCTCCTGGGGGGAACCAGGCCAATTCTTCCAAGTCTGAGACTTATCTCCAAGTCTTCGCTACTATTGAGCCACAATTACAGCCTGCTCAACCCTTGGCTGAAAAGGTGAACATGTAAATTATATTTCCGCTGTAAATACACGTTTCTTATGCCTCTCTATATTGCATATGCTTGCACTTTCGCCGAAGGGAGAGGAGCATTCATTTATAAATTCCACTTCTTTGTTTCCGCACTTAGTACAGTGGTTATGTAGTGTCAGGAAATTCACAATGTCAAGGGCTTTTTCACAAGCAATTTAAACTGAAAACAAATTATAATTGCTTAAAATAATTAACTATCCTAAAGAATGTTGTGGCCAAATATTCAACCTACCTTTCTAATTGTTTTTGTGTAACATTTTCCTATAAAATTGTCAGTAAAACCCTGCTTTTTCATGTTCCCATTAATTCGGTTAATTCTTGCGAAGCCTGTTTTCTTAGCCTGAATCCTGTTTTGGACGTTTTTACCTATTATATTCTAGTCATTTTGCGATCATTCTTAAATAATGCTTCTCGTGTTCTCATTAATTCGGTTAATTTAACGTCGAAGCCTGTTTTCTTATTTTGGACGTTTTTACCTATTATATTCTATTCATTTTTCGATCATTCTTAAATAATGCTTGCATGTTTCCCAATTAGTTTGAGACAAATGAAAGTGAGACATTGGTTCACAACGCTCAAATATGGTTGTCCAGTGTGAGAGCAGGCCATTCACATCGGGAGTACAAGGTTATTATCATTAACACTTTCCCTATGCAGTTCTCACTTAACGATTCCCTGTTGGAGATAAATAATTACGGATGTGCTGACGCTGATCATAATTTAGAATCCAAAATCCAAAACTTACAGTTTCCTTTTAAAAGCTTGCAGTGATTGGTTGCAATTGACATTCAAACATGTTAAATGTATAGTGCAAAAAGAAATAAGATAATTTTTTTGGTATGCCACAATAGTGGTAAAGAAAATAGCATGATTAATTAGGGCTGTGGAGAGCGGTGAGGTTGTTAAACTGATCATGCTATTGGTTGTTTGGTCAACAACAAAATTTAAAGCAACATGTTGATATATAATTGAAATTGTTGGATAAGAAGATTGAGTCATATACAGGCTAGCAAACTCTTTTCTTCCGGTTTTCCAAGGAGTCTCTCGGTTCACAACCATATCGCCCTGCAACCCATCAGTCCCTTGCACATTTGCCCGGTCGTTTCTAGGCGAGCAATTTTAGGCGTCTGTCAACTTTCCCCAAACAAAATTTACGTCGATGGGGAAATATTTAAAGTACGGTATTATGAAAGTATTTGGTATTCCTTCAGATCTTCAAGATTCTTGTCAAATCTTCAGATTTTAGAAGGAAAAGATTGAAATACTAGGTTTGGTTTTCAACGACTTGGAAAGCCGTTGTTATGCACTGAAATTCAGGCACCCACTCGAATTACTATGTATATGTTGACCTATTTGTTTCTGCAAGAGCCTTCTGTACGAGACCAATATGAGTATTTCCCCGTATGTATCAATAGCAGAAACACGAGACTCTTTTCCAAAGGCTGATTCACCTTTTTTCTTTTCACATTTTCAGACAATGGTATCTGACCTGAACGGCAAAAAAGTCTTTATCACCAGATATATCAAAGCCCAGAAACCTCCGGATGGGCTTATCTCCGATACAAATCTTCCCGCAAAATCAATTATGGTATAATCTTTAGATTAATAGATTTTTTCCTTTTTACTATTGTAATTAATTTTCACTACATTCAATGAGATTAATTTTCAAGAGCTGTACATTCAAGTTTTATCAGATATTGGACGTAATGTCTCGGGTTTGACCCATCAAGCAAGCCCATTTTTTGTTTTTTAACAAGATGCTAACTAAATCTTCTTTCCTGGCGACATTAGGCAAGAACAAATTTGATTTATTTGCTGAAGAAGTTCTGATGGTATTCACGACCATATTGGCATTTTTTGTACAAAAACGTCAACAGCATCAAATTCTGATCTCGAATGTTGACGCAGTGTTCTCCCGTTGTTCCCTGTTTTACATGTTGTTGTATTTCAATTTCATTTTGCTGCGTATTTCTTTTTCGTTTTTTTAAAAAGTTGACCAAGGATTGGCATATTTTCCATCAAAATCAAAGTCGTATGAAATCATGGTCGTATGAAATTATGGTCTTATTAAATTATGGTCGTTAGGAATATCGAGGACATATTACAGGTATTTTTTGTAAGAAACTAAAGTCCAGGCTGGTAGGCAGTTTCTTGAATTGTCGGGCAATTTTTCTGCTAGAAGTATCTTACGTGTTTTTTAAATTGTTTAGCTCGTGATTTTTTAAGCGTTCTTCCCAGATTTTGAAGCATGTATACGTAAGACTCCATTCAATGATCTGCCTGTCGAAAGTAGTGTTCAAAGAGTTGCAGTATGGTCAACGTGTTCAAATTCAAAGATGCCAAATCTAGGGTTTTGAATTTCATACTTAACAACAGAATAAGCGGTTCTATGTAATGTTTTGTACACAACCCTACTTCCGTAAAGCATGCGAAAATCTAATTTTTCTCCTAAAAGCACTTAAAGAGTCTTCTACAGAAATTTTCTTATGAAACGTTGAGACCCAACACCCACATCCCCCCCCCTCACCATTTACATTTATCTTATTGTTATTGCCATATTGCCACCTTCAATTCCTTGCTGATTTAGCTAGAAATTTGATTTAAGATTTATGTACTGGAGGCAGACAAATTTTGCCTTTGACATATACTAGAGACAGCGTTTTCCTATTGTCATAAAACAGTTCTATTTGTACTTGAAAATGTATCTGAACCTTCATTACAAACAAACTGCTTGCCTTCGATATTCACAATAGCACCTAACTGTGTTCCTTTTCTACCTCCCTTTGACAACGCTTCCATTGATCTCGCCAGGTTTCAGTTCTGCATTCAATAATACAGCTCTGTCGTTTATCTCTAATAATTTAGTAGAATTTTTTCAATGTTTTGTTATTGTTTTCCCTTATACTATTCATTTTCAATTGCAGCGAATACTGGCAAGATATGTTTCCCTTATTCCTTACATCCCAGATTCAGTCCAGTTCCCTGATTTATGTGACATCTGGACCACTTCAGAGGTAAAGTTTTTTCAATCTCTCCTGCCGATCTTTAGCTTTTAAACTTCTGAAAAGAAAGTGTGCTCATGTCCTTCCTTGTGTGCTTCTACTTGACAACTAAGCATTGACACAATAAGAAATAGCACACAACAGTCCATTTTTCCAAGTTATGCTAGCTATTAACGGTTAACTATAGTTTTCTTAACTAAATTATGTTTCAAAAATAATGTAGATTTTGAGTCAATTGTGAACCATCCGTTGTACACAGATTCAAATTTAATTCCAGAAAAGCCTCCTGCATATTTTGATTGCTTTGAAAAATAAACTTAATGCAGCTATCTTGCTCTGTGTAAAAGTACATGATGAATTACCTAGTTTTTATTACATATATCTATAAAATATAACATATAACATATATATGAAATATCAGTCCATAGGCCGCGATAGCCTTCAACCTAATTACAATTTGTTTCTCAAAATTTGTCTATAAAGTATTTTGTACTTAACTAAGAATTATATACAAAACTGATTACAATTCAAGGCTAATATAAAATAATGAATGCTATTTAAAATTACATTTATATATCACAAAGAATGAAATCTGTTATGAATTATTCTCTCGTAAATGGTTACCTATACGCGACTTATGAATCTACTTATTATATGCTCTGCTTTCGCTCTTGATCACTACGCCATCTCGTATTTCTAAGAAGTCCCAGTCCTATTCTTGTTGCCTGGTTACTGATGCCAGTAAATAAGTCCAGGTACAACTGTTTCTCTTCCAGCAATTTCTGAGCATGCTTGCAGGCGATGAAGAAGAGCATGCTGTTTTGTTGTGCAACTTTTTTCTCTCTATGGGCAAAAAGGCCTGGGTTGTTCTTGGAAATGGCATTCCTGAAGGTAGAGTATGGCCTTTTTCACTTATTTTCTAATGCTCGGAACCTTATTGTAACCAACAATCAGGTAATGTAAACCTATTGTTCCCAGGTTCAGTGAAGTCGCCAGCCCGAAAAGTCGCCAGTGTGACACCCCCTTGCAAAAAATTTAATTGCCAAAACGAGGAGTTTTTGCCATCTAGGGGCGGTCGGGAAAATGTAAGTCGGCAAATTTTCAAACTTGTTGGCAAATAAAGAATGGTTCTCCCACTTTGTCGGCAAATGGGACTTGCA